ACTAGTAGCAGTAGCAGCAGCAGTAGCAGTAGCAGTATCGGTTGTAGTAGAGTCAGCAGCAGTAGCAGCTGCAGTCGTGGTAGTAGTAGCAGAAGCAGTAGAAGTAGCAGTTGCAGTGGCAGTGGCAGTGGCAGTGGCAGTAGCAGTAGCAGCAGTAGTGGTCGGCTTGGTTTGGGTTTGACTTGGCATCAGTGAGGCAGGGTCGTGCGTGGAAGTCATCGGTGTTAGCAAATGATTGGCGGGAGCATGTAAACCACGGCGAAACCACAATATTGAAATCACCGAAAAGCGATTTCCAACGGTTTGAAAGCCAACATGAGCACTGGCCTGCGGCTCGACTCAAGACGTATATAACTCTGTAGCAGTCACTGACTCGCGTGTCCCAGATGCAACACTGCGACTTAAATATCGAAAACGTGCCTGCACCTGTAGCGGGAGATCGCATGTGCATGCCGAGCGCGACTTGGAACCAAAATGAACCAAGTCTTCGATCTGGGCTGCTAACCTGATAGCGCCATAGTGTTGCCGCGCTGTTTGGGGAAACACCGCACTACCAGTACCGCTACCACCATTGCCACGACTACAACTACTACGACTACGACATCGACTTCGACCAGTGCCGGTGACACACCACTCAATTTTCTTTATCCTGGCCGCCTTCTAGGGAGTCTAGTCATTAGAGTGCCGTGGCCGTTGTTTCTACGTAGTGTGATTAGTACGAATGCTGCCAGAATCAGAATTGAACGTATTGCTGAAGTCGACACCTAGTGAATACTCCCGTGGTTGGCTTTGTGGGACGGGCGGGGAGGGAGGGGGGTGGAAAGGCAGCCGCCGCGTCCCCCCAAAGCGCTGCATGATTCACTGATTCCTTCTGGGATCCTACGAAAAGTTGTTTGAAGTGTTCTTAAAGTGAAATCCATTTTGTTGTGGAAATAAGTTATGATCGTGCTATAATGCAAGGTAGAGCCCATCTGGTCAAGACCTATTGAGCTGCATTCAAGGTCCTGTTAAACCCATGTTCGAGCTTCATCAGTGTCGAGTTTGAAGCGTGTTCAACGCTGGAGCTCCTAAGAAGCGTAAATGTACAGTCGTTTGCACCAATTGTCAATGCAAATTTTTGGGGGTCAGGGACCTATTGGAGATCATCAGGAAGCTACACTATCCGAAGTTTTCAACGGAAGCTTTTGGAAGCACAGATGGAAGAAGACGTGTACACATGTCATGCTGATTTCTGGGTGTGGCTTCTCCTGCGATCGAGTGCCCTCGCCTCAGGCTCGGAATCGAGACTCTCGGAGGACAGCAGTGTTCTTGTGAGCTGTGAGACCCTGACTGCATTTTTGTTGCAATTTGTAATGCTTCGCTTCGTCCGCCTCGGCGGCCGCAGGTGAAGTGCAGTCTTGGCGGGAATGAGTCCGGCACAGCCGCAAACCCACAGAACGGAACAGAAGGAAGGTGGGGGAAGGGGTGGGGGGGCTGGTCTGAAACAGAGAATCCGTATGCTAAACTCTGACCACTTCGGCCGATGCTGGAGGAGCGGAGCCAAAATGGAGACACGATTGCCAATCTAAAAGGTCAGCTGGCCGAGCCTGTGTCTCAGTGCCGCGCCAAGTAGCACTTAATATCATCGGCAGCGGTAAGCTGCCCTGGGTTTGGGCTCGAAGAGTGGCGTTCAAGATTATCGGATAGTACAGCGATGGACCACGAAGAGTCTGACAGTGAGCACTGGGACGGCTCCGAGCAGCACTGGTGGCACCACCTGCTGTACATTGACTGGAGAGGAAGTTTCGCGGATGTTCCCACGACTTTGGAGGCACTTTCATCCCTGCACAGTGCCGAGCAGGGTGCGGAGCAGGGTGGTCTTTCCGGCCTACTGCGGGACTCACGGAGGCGAAGGTCGTTGGCCCCTGGGCAATCTATAACTCACGCTGACCTTTTGCACCTGTACCACCTTCATGGGCAGAGTCGTCAAGCGGACAAAGCAGCTTGTGTTCTCAAGCTTGCGCTTGCCCTGATGATGTTTGGACAAACAGCCTCAGATTGCGAAGACATTGTTCACGGCGTCTGTTCCACGATAGACTTGCCTGTAGTTTCTTTGGATGTTGGCTTAAGAACTCTGCATGTGTGTTTCCTTGGAGGGATTACACATTCTCTCGAATTTTCTAGAGGCATCAACGCCGACAAACTCGCAGCTACGAGTCGACTCTCCAATCTAATGATGAGTGGCATTGGTAGCTTGCAAGGAGCGACGGACCTTTTAGATGAAATCTTCTTTCAACGAGAGCCTTACGGACTGCTTGTCCGCTTTCTGGCCTTCTATGCTCTTTGCGTGATGGCATCTCTGGCCGCGTTTATGGGCACGTACAGAGATGCATTGGCCGTAGCAGTTATGGCCCCATTCGTTATCCTCGTGCAAATCTTGTCAAGAGGAACACATGCTGCTTTAGAGGCTTTTCTCGTTGCGCTGACGATTGGACTACTAACGCCACCTTTGCTGCGATACATGGAGATCCCGACCTGCGACGTTCCTGTCCTTTATTTGTCGCCTTTGCTCGTTTACCTGCCCGGGTCACAACTGACTTACGGAGCATACGAGGTGCAATTCGGCACCATCATAAATGGAGCAAGCCAGCTGGCAGCTTGCATCGTTCGGTGTATGTTTTTGGCCATTGCACTTCTAGTTGGTTGGCAGTTCTTTGGCCATGAGGCAAATCAAGCAAAGGCCGGCCAAGCCCCAATTTCGGTTGCAGCTGCATCGCTGGTGCCTGCAGATATGTCATGCCAATTTCCATACTCTTGGGAGATTGTGTTTCTAGGATGGAACATTCCTTTGCTTTTTTTCGCCTTCATAGGACTGAATATTCCAATCTCGCAGATGTTGCTTCCGGGATTGGCCGCTTACGTCAGCCTGCTGCTCTACATGGCACTCCAAGAGCTGCCACAACTCAAGGGGCTACCCGCCAGAATAATTGACTGTCTCGTTCTCTTCGTGGCAGCCAACTTAGCTCTCTTACGGGAGTACTTAACCGGTGCTCCCGCTGTTCTGACGATAATTCCTGTCACGCTCATCTTGGCCCCCGGATCACATGTTGTCCTTTCAATTCTGGCATCGGTGCAGACCTCGGAGAAGGTGCCGGAGGTTGTTGTTGAGCCAATTCTTGGATTGGTTCTGCAAGGCACTGCTTACGCAACTGGCCTAACATCGGCAATTCACTTATGGAGGCCATTAATCCGGAGAAAGCTTGCACGACAACGTACCCCAGCTGTGCACACCTACTGATGGCAGCTGACATGCTTGCAGATCTCTCAGAGCTCATTCAGGGTATCTGTCCGACCGTCATGTAATGCAATGCATCAAGATGCCCCGAAAGCAAAAGAGTTGCCTGCCCGTTGCATGGTTCGCTCGAACCGCGGCTGTGCTTTCCATTGTTGCAGCTGCTCTTACACGATACCATGAATTTAGGTCTGCAGCAACGCTGAGTGCTGTACGCCTCCAGATGCAGGAGACCCGCGTCCCGTTCCGGTGTCATTTTATGTCCTTGAGTGTTCTCGACAGGAAGTGGGCCATGCGAGGGATCTGCTGGCTGCTGAAGTGGCGGAGACGAGGCGAAGGTTCCCAGATTGGAGCTCAACAGCGGATGGTGCCTGTAGGCTGTCTCTGCAGTCCGAGCATCAGCGGGCGGAGGCTCCGAACACCAACTGACCTTTAGACTTTAGCCTCTCAGGGATTCGATGCTGCAGGCCCAAAGGTCCGAAGCCGCTGCGTTGTTACAGCAGGCAAGCACAATCACTCATACAAGCAGAGCACTTGCAACTGTGACTCATGCCCCTCAGGTTGAGACACGGAACACGGCCCTGCAAGACCAAGTCAATGATCTGCAAACTGCCGTCAACCAGCTGTCCAAAGAGGCACCTGCAGTCTCTGAATCCGAGCTGGTCACCAGCGAGTTCGTCCGAAGCCCGAGGCTTCACGAGAGCGTGAGGTGCTTGAGGCCGACAGGCAACGCTTGCAGGCCTGGGGCCTGGCTTCTTTGAAGTTTCCCAGACCTTGGTCTGGTAGGAGATGCTGGTCAAGGAGGCTCAGCAGGCCAAGGAGCTTCGAAGCATCCACTTGTCTCAGACTCCTCTCTCCTCGAAGAAAAGCCTCAAGTCGGTCAGCAGGAACAAGCTCTGCTAGCCAAACTTCCGGCTCGTGCTACACAAAAGTCTGAAACGAACAACCTGCTACCCAACACCGCAACATCTCTCAGGATTAGTGGTCAACCTGAATACTCAAGCTGTCTCGATTCTTGGGCCATCTCCAGCTAAGGTCACATGAAGTCAAAAGTCTAAATGAGGCTGCAGATCAAATAACATTTTCGACAGACTAGGATATGCCACAAGCAGTGGGGTGACCACATCAAGAGGTCGCTTTGCCTCGAGGCAGCCAGAAGGGGATCGTCTGGGTGCTGTGGACGGCGCGTGGCGCCCAAAACCAAATGTTGAAACTAGAAAATGAAGCAGGGGAGGTGTGCACTTACATTAAATAAAGCGATTAATGACCAAGTGCACAGTAGCACACATGTATGTGCATGTATGTAAATTATACGCCTATGTATGCATGTATGTATGTATGTATGTATGTATGTATGTATGTATGTAGGTATGTAGGTATGTAGGTATGTAAGTATGTATGCATTGCTTGCATGTAGCTGTATGTATGCAATTGATGACATATGTTCTTGTTCATAGACTAGTACAAGGGACTCAGGACGTACATGTACACCTGTGCGTGTATTTGTATTATGTACCTAACGGCTATCGGCTATCGGATTGCTCGCATCGCTGCGCTTGAGTGGCAGAAAGAGGAGGCGAGTATGCTGGCAGTGCAGCACGGCTGCTCCCGCCGGGCTGTCCTGCAATATGCAACAGTCTCAGGGCGAGCCATGCATGGCGGGTGCCTATGACATGTCATGACATGCCCATCGCATCTCGTACAAGTTTCCTGATTGAGAGATTCGCAGCATGAGAACTGCTCCAGCAGCAGTTGCAATCAGACACCATACACTTCGTTAAATAATTGCTTTCTTGTCCGCCCTGGTGCTTGAAGCAGACGAGGAAGGACCACATGCCATCCTTGTAGACGGATGCGGGAGGGCGTTAGCTGCTGTAGTTCACAGCATGTTTACCGCAACAGCTGTTTCCCACACTTGCAGGGGACGCCGCCTCCATAGGCTACTGTGCGCGCCGAAGCCGATGCCGTGGACCCCTCCCCTGTGGAACCGAAGCAAGTTTGTGTTTTAGACCCCGGCACAGTTGCAGCGCTCCAGCGGGTTGTTAAAATGCTGCGAGCAAGTCATCATGCCGATGACTTATGAGACAGAACCAAAAGACACAGCAAGGGTTGCGACAGCGCCATCTTTCGGCCTGGTCGGTGCAATCTCCAGACTCCCTGTCTGTCCGTGCCAGGCAGAACATGGAGAGTTTTGCCTGCTGTGACCATCTCTGACTGTGATGGCGAGGGAGCCTGCCCTGGTATGAATCCGAGTGGCTGCTGCCTTATTGTAGGATCTCTTGTTTCAGGGTTGTTCTATACATCTCGAGGTGCCAGGCACATGGACTCGGCAAACACATGCTGACGAGATGCAGAGACATGGAGTGTACCCACGATATCTCACGACATGTGCGACACTGCGCGAAGCAGCAGCTGCCATTTTCTTGTTGAAGGCTCTGTGAGTCCGGTTCGATAAAGCAAATTCAAGCCCCATTCAAGTCGCGACGTGTCCATCCTGAACGAAGCTCTCTGTCAGAGACACAAGGTCGATCTTGACGATATCAGACGGGGACACGTGATCCATCGAAGCCATTTGTCTCAAGTTTGACTTTTCTTCCCGGCGCCATACTTTATGCTTCTGCATCAGCAAGTTTGGACTAGACTTGCTTTTTGTTGCTGCCTTCAGTGCTGTCCGACCTGTTCTAGGGGCCTCTCTCCATGCAGCCTTTGCTGCACGCCGTTGCGACCGAAATCGGCCTTTTCCTTGTCCAACCGGACAGCTTGCAGCCGTCTGAAGGACGAAGGTGCGTTCGCTCTGCACACTGTGTCGCACCGGATATATAAGCTGTCATGTCTCAACAACATACGTCTGAGACATTGAAACAGGGATGCTCAACAAACGTGTGCAAGTACGGGCCCCTGGTTTTTGGTCCAGCCTTTTTCAGCTCACAAGCGAAACCAAAGCGCACGAACCATGTCTTCACCTCGCACAAGTTACGACTCGAGGAGGTGGTCAACAAGTGGTATGTTCAGCATCAAGGGACTAGTCTCGTGAAGTCCTTGCCAGCGTGTATCCCACTTCTCTCCATCATAAAAGATCAGAGCACCCTGCGCACTGTGATGTGAAGTCTGTAATGCCTTGTGCAATGCCACCTGCAGGAGAGCCAGGAGCAGTACGATCGATGGAGAGAATCGCATGCCCGACTCCCAAGAACGCAGCGAGAGAGAGGGAGAGATTTCCCCTTTGCCCATAACCCTGCCGAAAGAAAGAGAAGCAAGGCACAGGAGGCAACTCTTGTGCCCAGAAAGAAAGTGCAGACAGAGACTCCGCAGGCGGCGCAAAAGCCTCATGCCCAATCAAAGAGAAGAAGAGCTTGCTAGGTGGAGTCTTTGCGCCGGGTGCTCTACTCGGCGGAAGCTTGCGCAGCCCCGCCGTGTCACGATTGGTTTGCCTGGATGGAAGGTGCAAGACGAAACCTCTGCCAAGATGCTGGCCTTGGAGAGGGAGAAGGCTGCATGTCCAAAAAAGGTGCTGGAGACTAATCCATCCTCTGAACAAGGACGGCATTCAGTCAGAGCTGAAAGAGGCGCTCCGATCCCTCAACACGAAGCAGGCTCATCGCCTGGTCACCAGTAATGCTCAGGAAAGCTACCTACTTCATTTGCTTACATGCGGAACACTGAGCTGTTTCACGTTGCGTGCCTTTTCGTACCTACACAACTTCCAGCTAGGGCAGTGAGATCGCGCCGTTCTTTCTGCCACGCGCGTGGTTTGTGGAGAGTTGTCACTCGAAGATTACAGCCGTCTCCAGTTTTCTCTGCAGTCAGCAACTCTGCCTGCGCGAGACTCACAGCTGGCAGATGAACGCGGATAAATAATAAAAATGAGGTTGAGTTACCCGTGCGGAAAATTTTGCAGATTTCTTGGTGGGGTGCTAACACCACAATGACTTGCAAGAATCCTTGAACAAGCTGTTTCAACTGACGTCGAGGCCTTGTGGTGAAATCGACCAGTAGAAACTATCAAGGACATCTGTCACACTGCTAGCAGCATTTGCCACCTTGACTCCATCGGCATCTATGTCGTTTCAATTCCATGTACCACCGTTTGTTGCCCATCGCTTGGCGCATGGCGTCTGCATCTTGTTACCTTCTGCCTTCAGGTCCAGCTTGAAGCGACCGACAAGGACGTGATTTGCTCGAGGCTAGACGTAGTCGGAGCCACACTCGGGCGAGGTCCTAAGATGTCGTAAGACGTAAGATGTCGTAAGCCTGTGTGCAGCTGTCTTTTGTCCTCATAGTGATTGTGTGCACTCTTGGATCCCTTCGCAGGCCGTTCTCCTACAGCAGCTTTACTTCTCATAGAATCCTCAAGTTCCCAGGTGCAAAATGCATCTGCTGATTTCGCATGGGGGCCTGTAAGTGATGCATGCTGCAGGGAGGTCGGGCTGCCAGAACACCGATTCCTTTCTTGGCCCGCTGTTCCGTTTCTTCTGCTAGCCGCTAGCCATACTGACAGACCGAGTCTAAAGAGCATGGTTGAACGCATGGTGCGTGAAATTGTAACTCGAGTCAGGACCTGCAGCGCTTGAGGCCAGACGATTTGCTGGCCTTGGATGGACAGAGTTCGGCATTCGTGTCAGGTCAGAAGCGCAAGAAGCTGCAGCTGCAGGGGCCTTGTGCATGCCGGGTGCACAGATCACATCCTGTCTGGTCCGAGGTACTGGAAGCCAAGCAGCAACTATCCAAGGAATTGAACGAGGATCGGCATTTCAGCGATGATGATCGTCTCTCGGGCTTGTGCAGACAGGTGACAGAGGCTCTTGAGGGTGCTTTGCGCACGGAGGCTACGTGTCCACGCTTTTTGTGGGTACATAGCATGTGACGGTGCAGAGGCTGCGCTCACCGCCAAAATTGAGGATGCTGCGCAGCGACATCAACAGGCCGGAGAAGCCAAGGTTTGCTGCATATCCAACAATGGCATCAGCCATGAACTAGGAGAAGCGCGATCTGGAGCTTCAGGTGCACCGACAAATCTGCCCAGCATGCCTGTGTACTTCCACTTGGGTGGGCAGGTGCTGGACAAGGATTCCCGGCTTGAGAAATTCAAGCTGGACTTCGAGGTAGGATGCTGCATATTGTGAGGGCAAGTCCACGGTCAGACAAGGGGGGCTAAGCGTTCGAGCCCGGGCAGACGCAGCTTCGCATCTCACAAAGTCGACTCGCCGGAGAGCTGAACAAAGAGAAGGCCGCTTGGGACCGCCGCGGGCCGCTGGGGACCGGGTTGCCAGAGACCAACCAGTGAAGCTTGTACTCCGCCGTGGTGTCGAGGCTAAGGCGGACTTAGCCGCCGCCTTATTGCCTTGACGTACGCGTCTGTCTCGGGTGTCCTGCAGCCAGAACTCGCCATGCTGGCCATGGCCCAAGCAATTTTAGATGTCTATAGATTCACGAAAGTGACATTATTTGGAGCATCTTTCTCTCGATTTCATGCTAAAACTTGACTTGGGAAAACGACATACCGCAGACCCGAGATTTCAGATGTCTACAGAGTGCAAAGTCCACCTAACGTCCCGTGAACTCGTGGCACGAAGACCATGGGCAGCCGGCGGCTCAGTGCCTTTGTTGGGGATTTCTGGCGCTTCGAACCCGCGAAGAAACTCCGTCAGGCGGCGCTTCGAAGAAGGCCTGGGGACGAAGGCTGCGGTCCTTGTCACATGCTTCGCTCTGCTACGTGTTGCTGAGCTTGGCACTGTCTTTGTTCAGCCAATATCAGGTTTCACATCACATCAAACGTGCCTGACCCTACCGGGGAGACGTGCGCCAGCAAACTAAATCATATGGTAGAGATGGTGTACCGTAGCACGTTTTGTGACCCCACAGAGCAAGTGTGACAAAGCCGACAGGTATCAGCAGATCTTTCCTGTTTGGACCATTTCGGCTTCAGCCCTGTACAAGCTGTGTGACTCACGGTGGACTTTCGTAGTTCGTGAAAGGTCACGAAGAACCAGAGACAGCTGGCCACAGCAACCAGTGACAACAGGATCAATCTCTGGTCCATTCCTCTGCAAGTCCTTGCTTGTAGTTTTTCTTACTGCACAGTTCACGCCCGACTGGACATTGGGCCGGCAAGGTGCCTTGTTACACATCAGCTGCTTGCTCCTCTCATCGGACACGCAGACACGGCCCTCGGCTCAAAAGTCCGGTGCGAAAAGTCAGTGTCCGTGAGAGCAAATGTCTCCGCTGTACCAAGATTTGGCGCTTGGCCTACTCCCCTGATGACTTGCTACTGGCATCCGCGAGTGCTGATGGCACAGTGCGGCTGTGGGAGGCGAACCTCTCTCAAGACCACGCTGAGCGCGCTGTTGAGCTGTTCGCTTCAGCTTATGTATGTGAGTCGCGTGTTTGCTTCTGCTGCCTGTTTCAGACTCCGGCATGTGGCACATTTAGCAGAGCAGCAGAGTAGCAAGACACACACGAAGCTCATTCAGAGCCACTGTAAACTGAGTGGTGTGCATGTACAGCATCATGTGGAGGGAGGTCGATGGCACAACAACTGTTCAGTAAATCGTATGTATGAGCAATGCCCCGTGGCGTGGTCAGAATTTGCCGATGCGCGGCCGGGTCCTTCTTGGAGAGAGCGTCTTGCAGGCAGCGGCGCGCTGTCGTTAGCACAACATGGGTTGCAGCAGCAGCCAGTTCCGGCGCAATGACAGGCATGTCTGGAGCAGTCGTGCCTCACGGCGCCTTGGCCACACGGGCATCTGCCGTGCAAGTGTAGAAGTCTTCACGCACCGAGGCAAACGCTCAGGGAGCATTGTTCGGAGACGTGAATGTCCAGCTCCGAGCATCTACGATGGTTCGACACCACTCAGCTTGTGCTTCGCATGCCTTTGCCCTCAGTCTTGCAGAGAGAGAGACGGGAGAGAGCCACAACGTCTCACACGGGATTCCAATGGGCACTGTAGATCTAGTAGAAACTTGCAGCAAGAGGCTTCCCAAGCCTTCCCAATGCGCGCGGGTGTGTGTGTGTGTGTGTGCGCGCTCCCACATGCTCCCACCCTCCTTCAGCGGATGTTGGCTTTGAGAAAGGGAAGAGAGACTGCGACAACACTAAAATTGCTGCTGTTCTACAGTCTTGACGATGATGGCCGCGGAAGATCTACAGGGCTGATTGAGAAGTGCGACTTGGCACGCGCAGTGTCTGACCGCCTCCCTTACTCGCGGGGATGCCGGCCAACATTGACGGGATGAGTTGATTAATTCGTCTTGATCAGATGTTTGTTGCATCCAGACCCTGGGGGTTAAATGAAGCAGAGAGTGCCAGCATGCAAATTTTCCTAGACCCTGCTCACCGAGTCTCTGAATTTGCAGTGTTTCGGCCACCTGACTATCTCTCTCCGTGAACCTGGAATCGACCCATGCAGAACCTGTTGCCTCGGGTGACCAAGCTCGCCAATGAATGGAATCCAGTCGTATTCGCGGTGTCTCCGCTTTGAGAACCACTCGAGCCGCCTGGATCTGGGAAGAGAAGACCAGCTGCCGCCGGAATTTTATACTCTCGAAGACACTGTGTACGGTGCATGCACGGAGCAATGAAGAGCACAAACGATCAAATGTAAGCCTTGAATGTGCCCACCACGGAATTCCATGTCAACGTGTCTTGAGTTCGACTTCAATCTAAAGTGGGAACCTCCTCCGAGCCCTGAGCCATTGCGCACAGGGGCGTGCAGTCTAAGGTGCAAGCGCGATTGTCGTCCTCCAACGTACGCGCCCCCTTTCCTCTATAACTTGCACACGCGATGCCGGACACCTTCGCCCACCTGTGCTTTGTCGGGGGGTTGGAGGGACGCTTACGGGAAGGGCGGGGCCTGGAGGCCCCGAGTCTTGGGCGGGGGCACGGTGGGCGGGATGAAGGAAGACAAGAAGGAACGAAGGAGCCAAGACAACTAGGAGAGCAGGAAGCAAGAAAGGAAACAGGGCAGGAGGGCCGTCCGGAACACGAAACCCTAAAGCGAGGAAGGCAGGGTGGAAAGGCTTAGACTTTGAGCCGTAAAAACAGATGCTGCCTGGCAAAGCCCTAAACCCTAAAAAAGAGCTGTTGGGTGAGACCGCAGACCCTTTTAGTCTAGACCCCGCGTTTTCGTGCAGCAAGGTGCGAGCACTTTATGTTTGCGTACAAACCCTACCCTACACCCTCCGGTTTGGTGCCGTGAGCCCGCATACGTTTTTTTTTGGCGTACCACACAGGACCCTGTGTGCAAGGTATTTTGCTGCGTTTTAGCGTGTTCGCCTTAAACATGCTGGCCGTGCACGGTGCCTGCGTCATGAAACTTGTCGACCAGTATGAATGCCAGTCTTGCTGTCAAGAGCAATTGAATCGCTTGCACAAGCAGCTATCACGAAGGTCAATGGTTCAACCTCACTTGACAATGATGTTGCTGCAGGTGCCTAAGGCCTTAGCATCACTGAGCTGCTGTGCATTCCGGACGTCGTGCACGGAATCTCCAGTCATGCCACAAAGACCCAGCTCGCGCCCCCTAGGTTTGGAATCTGCAGATGGCTACCAGGAGTGGCCCACCGGGCACTCATCTCAGACAGACTTTGGATCAACATTGACATTATTTTACTTGCAACTTACCATGCCTGAAGTCACGAGTCTATGTGACATGCAAAGTTGTAGTGGTTAGTTGCTGTCAGGACGTGAGCAGACCGAGGAAGAGTCTGCAACCAAGTTAGAGTTTCGAGCAGCAGGAAGCTCTGTCCAACGGCACGCCTTCAGTGTTCCTGGTGGCAGGTTTGTGGCCGCCCAACAGCAAGCGGAGGCTCGGCATCTGTGAGTTCATGCGCGTCCTTGAAAAGCACATGCATCTCCGGAAGCGAAGCTCCCACAACGGCAGAAAGAAACTCTCCAGCAGGTTTGTCCTGCGCAGATCTGGGCAGGGGCTTCGATTCCGTTGATTGCCCCGCGAGCCACAGTTGGCAGATAGGATTTTTCCCAGGTACAAATGGCACCATCTGACAATTCTTGACCAGACTCTAGAAGAAGTGTTACAGTCAGCAAAACACCTGATACATTGATGTTTGGGCGAAGTTTGAAGATGGAGTGAGAAAGGTCGGAAGCACGGCGCAACACGTCAGAATGACTGCAAGACCTAGGCTCTATTTCTTCGACAGGCAATTACTGGAACCGTTGAGCTGCGGCTGCGTCAACTTTCAGGGCACGGCCCTTTTAGACATTGTGGAATCCAGTACTCGGCTTCCCAGCTTTGACACTCCAGAATCGTGTTTCCTGCTTCGGGGTTAAAGATTTCAGATCTTCGGTTTCATGAACTGGTACTGTAACTTTCCTGACTGCCCAAATTGCTTGCGCCCGTCAAACTCGTCCGACGAAACTCCCACATCCAGCACTTTTGCTAACCTGATGGTCGGTTCCTGAGTTACTTGGGTGTTCTAAGCATTTCTACGTAAACCCCAGCCTCTTTAACTTCATCATTTACTGCAGACAAACAAAGCAGTGCAATTCCAACGCTACGCCGCCCGCCTCGGCTTGCCGGAGAGCAGCACTGACACAACCGGTAATGCTCAGTTACGCTGATTGCCGAAAGAGGAGGGTAGGGGAGGGCGGGGGAGAGGAAGGGAAGAGGGAGGGGCGAAACAAACGCAGAAAACTGGTCGAAACTGTGGGGGACTAGAAATTTCCGGGCTGCAGGGAGGAGGATTGATTAGGCCTCAGGCCCGTGGCCTCGGAGGATATGTTGAGCAGGTTTCGGACCCTCCTCCTGAACAACGGCTCCGCGCAAGCATATGCACGGGCGGGCCTAAGGGCGAATTAGGCAAAGCAGCGTCTTGATTTCCAAATCACAAACTTGTGAATAAACACGTGGCAACATGGAATCAAGAGCAAAAAGGCACACCAAAAGCTGCACCGTAGAGACCCCGTCACGACCATTTCGGCCAGGCAATGTCCGAGCAGGCTGCGCCTCGTGTTGGCGTTTCTAGTTGAGACGCTCAGCCATGCGCTGGACAGGTGTCGCGGTGCACCAAAGTTGTGGGCCGTGAGCCCAGTCGCAGCATGCCAGGCAGCCGGGGCTACTCGCCAAAAGCTGGACCTTGGGTTGTGCCGTGTTGCCGTATCCGCAGGTTGTCTCGAGTCTTAAGCTGGTTGTAGGTGAATATTGGCATCCCACGAAGCTGCCTCATGTTTCGCTGACACAGCGGGTCGATGGCTTTCCGGGACCACCGACACACGCGGCTTTTCAGGCCAGACAGGTATCATGCTGCCTTCCGAGAAGGGCTTCTGAGGTTGCTCTCTCATCAGAGACCCGGCCTCACGGCCTCGCAGTCTTACACAGTAATTACGGAGATGGGCAGTGATGACATGTGATGACAAGGCTGGTACACTTCAAGTCCCTCGGAAGTTACCGAAGCCGCAAGCTGCTGAGATGAGGGGCAGACACTGAAGTTCTGTTGCAAGAATGACAAGTTCTTGGCAAGCTTGGAAGAAGGGAAGTCTCTCAATGCCCGAAAGGACATGAGGCTCCAACTCCAATATCAAGAGAACTTTGCCGGCTCCGATCCCAGCTTGCCTCTTCAAGAGCAGCGAATGTGGGGAAGAGCAGTATGCAGACTACTGCGTCGCCCTCGTCTTTGGCCGGGCTTCGACTGCAACAGGGACAAGGCTCCTCGAGCCTCGGGCTTGCACTTGGTGCTCGGTTGCTCGCATATGAATTGAGAGCGGAAGGCAGACAGTAACGGCCTTCCGAACTTCCGTGTCTCGAGGACATCCTTTCACCCTCCTGATGTGGTGCCTTGATATTCTTATCAGGAACACTGGTCCTCGTTACCTTAAAGGCACGGCTGCGATGTGAAATCAGTTGGTCCGATTGGCTTCGGCTTGGCAGGTCGAAGTCGTTCCGTCCGGGCCTGAAATTTGACATTTAGAGCCATGTGGGTTGGCTGTGCGCATCCCCAGCATAGTGGCGGGTTCATAAACATGAAGGTACTTTGTCCTGACTCCTTCCGAAGTCCAACCTACAGCACACTGGATTCGAACACGAAGAGGTATAGCCCAAAGATTTGAGCTTGACCTCGCCCATGAGTGCTGGAGTTGTGGGTTCCTGGATTCCTATACTCGCGCGTGACATTTGTCAATGCCAAGGCTGTGTACCCTTGTCGCTCAGGCCAACCCGAGCTGCACATAGACTTTAGTGTTCCGGCTAGGTCCTCTTGTAAGCTGCTTCGCGCTGTCCCCAGCTCCGGATCGGGAGATCGGGTGATTGTCACAGAAGAACGGGGGAACACTTACCCCCCCGAACCTGCAAACAGCATCATCAAGGCCATGTCAAGTAAATCGGATCTTCGACAGTGCAATCCGGGTTTACAGTACCCACTGTCTGTTGATGTCTATTGGATTTCGTTGGTTCTCTATTCACGGGCTGGGGTGCGGAGTAATGTCGTGTCCACTCCGGCCATGCTACGGAATCTTTATTGCATTATTACGCTTGTCTTTTGGCTTAGGTACATGACGTACAACAATGCATGGCAGCGTCACACAGGTGCGATGCTACTTTATGCTACTTTGCTGCTGCCGTTTGTGTAGACTTGGCCTCCGTCTGCCATGAACGAGCACAAATTCTGACACCCAAGTGGAAATACCTTGCGACCGGGCACGTGGCCACCCTCACAAAGCCAGCTCTGCAACGAACAACAACCCTGACAACAGAGTGCAAGCACACTCACAAGCGTCACATCCATCTCGAACCTAATATTCCTAATCCTTTTGCTTGTCGGCTTTCAACAAAACAAAGGAGAAAGGCGACCCACACCGAGATGAGAATACTTGACACTCAAAGCATGGCAAAGCTTCCTGAAACTTGAGCCAATGACACACCTACATAGAATACAGGCTTCCCCTTCATTGGCAGCTTGCGTTGAACAGAGAACAAGCTTTGCAATTGCAGGGTTTCCCTGCAGTTGCGATGCACTTGGCCCCGTCGCACTTTGTTGCAGTCAGTTTTCCTCCTGTGTGGGTTATCTCTCGACGGAACAATGCAGGATTGCTTCTTGCAGCTTTGTTGCCGGCCTACCGTGCAGGCATTGCGCCAGGCCCATCTTGTATTGCATTGTCGCCTTATACCTCTCTGCTTGACCCGCACCCTCTGGATCTGTTGAAGGTGCTTCTGGACATGCAGCAAGCAAGGCATCAGAAGACTGCCGAGCATATCTTGAAGGCCACTTGAATTGAAGGAGGCCCTGCTGCTCCTTGTAACAGTGGAAGGACAAAATTCAAGTGACCACCGAGTTGCAGCTGCTCTGTGGGCAGTACGAAGGTCTGAACAGTCTGAACACGAGATGCCACGTCCTTGCACAGCTTTGAGAGGACTCTGTCTGATGCTGGAGTCGAAGGCGCATGCGCTGCAGATACCTGATGACATGATATGCTACACAAGCGGCCTACGTGAGCGTATCGACAGCACCGTGGCCTGCAGGTCCCTGTGCTGGCGGACTTGCTTTGTGATGTGCAGCACAACAGCCAGGCGAGAGCTCTTCCGCGTTCGGCTCAGACTGTCGAGATTGCCGGGGCTGCTCTCATTTGGACCCTGCAGGTGCTGGAAGAGCTTTTTGCAAAGAAAGCGCAAAGAAATTCTCAGGCGCTTCTCTTCCTACTGAGAGGGGGAAGGGCGGGGGGTGAATAACGTCCCGTTTGCACCGCCTCTCAAGTGGAGGGTTTGATGGGTTCCCCTTAATGGGTGAGGGATCAAAAAAAAATTGATAAGGATCAAAAAAATTTTTAGAACCCGAGGATCAAAAAAAATTAAATAAGGATCAAAAAAAAATTGCCCTTTGCTATATTATCAAG